ATTAGGTAATCATTGACCGATTTTTTTGAAATTTTTAATGTTCCTGTAATTCATTCTAAGTGAGCCACCGCTGGCAAAAAAATTAAAAAAAATGATCTTTTGTTTGAAAATTTGAATTTTTTTTGAACCATTTTCAATTTTTGTTCAAGTTTTTCACTAATTGCATCGAAAAAATCAATCTGTCGAATTATGGATTTTTGAAATATTTTTGGCAAATAAAAGCTAAACAACGACTCGACTATGTTTTTGAATCAAAAATTGAGCAAAATACACATTTTAATACACAATAAATGTACTAAATACACAGTGTTATGTAAATCTTCCAAAAATGACAAATTTTGACAATTTGGACATTTGACAGTAAAAAAAAATTAATTATCGTTTATTCTTCAAATAATTAATAAAATCAAAGAAGCCGATTTTAAAACAAAAATTTTAATTATGTTTATTTTTCTTGTCGAAAAACCTAAGACGTGTTCTGATTGGTTGATTTTAAAAGATGTAATTGATTGGCTAACGATCGAACAATGACACTCAACTTTAACGCATTAAATAATTTTTTACTTTTTATTGGTCTAGTAATCAAAAATCATATTGGCTCTAGGGTTGGCTCCTCCCACTGGGCAAAATTATATCCAATTAAAGTAAGATAATTCACACTAAACGCTGATTTGTTACAAAAATTCGATTCAGAATTCAATAATTATCCAGGATTTTTTTAATGGGTGGAGTTACTTATCGTTGCTAGGTTTTTGTCGGATTTTGGCCAATAAGAAATAAAAACCAGTTTGTTCTCACGGTATTGGTAATTACTCGAATGGGAAATGATTATTATTGGCCCTTGTAATCAAAACCCCACCGATTATCCAAAAAAATAAAACTGTTTTAATTCAATTGCGAATTTCCTTTGAAAAAGACGCAAAAATAAAAAATTAAATTAAAAATGAATGTTAAGATACTATTTCGTCAATTTTTTTCTCAGTGGATTAAAAAAAAATGCAGATTAAGCTTTCCTCTAATTTAAATTTGTTTCCTCAATTGGCTTTGAAAAATTCATCTTTTTCCCGTTTAGTGTGTTCTCAGTTGGTAATGAGAAAAAATGAGTTTAGCAACAAATTGACAAAGATGACGAGTTGAAATTGAATTCGTCATTTGGCAATAAAAATGAATCGTTTTAGTGATAAAAAATGTAAATTTGTGTCCCTCATTGGCTTCAAAAACTAATTTTGCAATTTCACGAATTATACGAACTATACCTCAAGGGTGTATTTATTTTGGTACAATTTTGTTTTTTTTCTCAAAAATTCTTTGTAATTTTTTTAATTCTTATTGAGTGTTTTTGCTGACAGTAAGCTCGGGAAAGACTTAATAAAACTGAGGTATGTAAAAATAAAACGCCATAAAATTGCACAAATATTTTTACTTTCCATATCCCTTATTTGGTTAGTAGCACGAAACATTTGGTAAAAATCGGTCGCTACACTAAATTATTGTCATTATTTGGACATTTCCCAAATAAGTAGGATAAGGAAAGTACCAGATTTTGATTTTTTTTTTATTTTGTATTTGTTTTTCAGCTCGGCGCGCCGTCCCATCTACCCCGTCCGCCGTTCAAACCGCAGCAAATCCAGTTTGAATTTCCACCACCAGAAGAACGGCTCCGACGAGGGCGACACATCCGAATACTCAGTTTCACCGTCCAGCAAAAGCTCCACACTTGAATCCAATCCAGATCGGGTGGTGTTGAAGAAAGTTGCAGCCCTTAAACGCCCTTCATCTGATAGCGAATCAGATCAAAACGTAACAATCGTTACTCAAGTATCCTACAAGTCAGAGAGTGTAGTCTGAATAGGTCATTGTGATTTAATTAAGTATCCACGTTTTTTTTTTATTACTTACCTGAAAATGTGCAATTTTAGTAATTTATTATTCAGTTGCCGTCTTTTTACAAGTATTAGAGAAATTATTGTGACAATTTTCGGGAAAACTTGCCACTTTACAGCCGACTTTCCTCTCTATTTTCGCACTTGAAAGTATTAATACTCATACAAGTGACTTTTTATTTGATTTTTTGCTCAGTTGACAAAAATTTGTGGTAGTGATAAGTGTCTATTTTTAAGTTTTAAAACTATAAACGGCAATAAGCTTCTAAAAAGTACAATGTGGAATTCGGAATATTATAGCAAAACTACTATTTTAGACGTAAAAATATATTTATTGAGCTAAAGTTGTGCTATAATTTTCATAGCAATTTGCCTTGCAAACACATCGATTTTTTGTACTCACTTCAAAGTGAGTGTGTTATTAACAAGTTGATGTAAGTACTTGCATCCGTTTCTCGTCCGTTATTACCTTATTTTCATGTGATAAAAACATTGCTAATTATTTAGTAAAGATCAAAAAATTCGTCATTGTGATTTAGTTTAGTTTTAAAACATTCCCGTATTTTATTTTCTAAAATTAGTTGAATAAAAGTGTCGACAATTGAATTTGTGTTTGTGTCGAAGATCAAAGCCGAAAAGGTTGACCAGGTGCAGTTGGAGGTCTTCGTCGCCAAGAAAACGTCCAGATGAACTGTTTAGATTGTTTAGTCTACCCACATCAGCTCTAATTACCTGCATCTAAAAACTATAATTGCACTCGGGTCTACGAAATGCAAATTTATCGCAGAGGGCTGCGACTTAGTCACAAATTACGCATAACGGAATTCAAGTTTGTGATTCGGATACCTAAAGATACCTAAATTTTTCTCCTATTCATTCATAAAAAAAATTAGAAATGTCCAATTTGTCTTTTAAATTGGTCATGAAATAAAAAGCAACCAAAACAATGAAAACTTTCGATGTGTTTCTCTCTCAAATAACACTCAAAACACTATTTTTTCTCGGAAAACTGGAAATTTAAAAAATTACTAGGATTGTGGGAAAAAAGAAAATTTACTAATTCTGAATTTTTGACAATTTTTATTTTATAATTTATTTATGTTCTGTTTCTTAGATTGTGGGGGAAAAAAATTAAAAATCGCTAAATTTTTTAAATTTATAAGTATCAGGGTATCAGTATTATTGAGAAGGAAATTGTTTTTTTTTAATTATTTTTCAGTCCAGAAAAAAAATTAAGTTATCTACAATAATTTTTTTTTAATTTTATAAAAAACTTGTAAAATGGTATTTCCTACGTTTTTAAAGGCACTAAAAACAATTTTTTGAAAAAAATACAAATTAGACATTAGTTATCGATTTAATCTGTCCAATTAAGTAAAATCTTATGAATAAACAAGAGTTTTTTGCAAAAATTGTGTCATTTTTAACTTTTCTTTACGTGTATAAAACAACGTTTTCCTCCTATAAAGGAGGTACATTCATAAAAAAAATTAGAAATGTCGTATTTAGTTGTTGATTTCGTAATTTGATATTATTTGTCATCAAAATTCGTCGTGAAATAAAAAGCAACCAAAACGATGAAAACTTTCGATGTGTTTCTCTCTCAGATAACACTATTTTTCTCAACAAACTCAAAATTTAACAAATTACTTTCTTCCTCTTAAAAGTCAAAATATTTTTTGACTGACAGATCCTCAAATTTCGAATAACTTTATTAAAAAAGCGATAACGTGACATTTTGAATAAGTTGAATTTAAAAGAAAAATGATTTAAAAAAATTAGACATTTTTCATAGTTTATTTTTTAATTTTAACGGTTAGAAATGTGGGAAGATATCTACTATTCCACTTTTAAACCTGTTAGACATTTTTAAATCAAAAAACCTTCTTTCTAGCAATACACCTTGGGTGCATCTTAATTTTTTTAATAAACAAAATAAAAACAATAAATTAGAAAAAGCTTAAATTCAAAAGTAATGTTTCATTAAAAAAATTTCCATTTAAAAAGATTTTTTTTACCAAAATTAATATTTTTTTTGCCTTATTTTTAAAATTGATTGTTTTTAAATCAGTTATCGGAGTTTTTGTGGTTAATATCTTTGTCAAAAATAGTAATAATAATAGATTTCAAAAAACCCAAAAATAACACACTATTTTTGGCTAAATTTGGTGATTTTTCGGCTTATTTTTGAGGAAATTTTACAAAATAATTTCGTTTCTGACTGAAAACGCAAATTTATCACAGAGGGCTGCGACTTAGTCACTATAAAATTACGCATAACGGAATTCAAGTTTGTGAGTACGGATACCTAAAGATACCTAAATTTTTCTCCTATTCATTCATAAAAAAAAATTAATGAAAAATTAGAAATGTCCGATTTAGTTGGTGATTTATAATTTGACATTAATTGTCTTTTAAATTCGTCATGAAATAAAAAGCAACCAAAACAATGAAAACTTTCGATGTGTTTCTCAAATAACACTCAAAAGACTATTTTTTCTCGGAAAACTCGAAATTTAAAAAATTACCTACTTTCTTTCTCCTAAAAGTCAAAATATTTTTTGTCAGACAAATCCTCAAATTTTGAATAAGTTGAATTTAAAAGATAAAAAATATTTAAAAAAAGATAAAAAACTTAAAAAAACAATATTTTTCTATTAGAAAGTCATTTTTGATGGTTTATTTTTAAAATTTTATTGGTTAGAAATGTGGGGAGATATCTATTATTCCACCTTTAAATCTGTTAGACATTTTTTAATTTTATTTAAAAAATGATTCTTTTTTGGTATTTTTGTCATAAAAATGACAAAATGATTCGGGTTTTGATTAATTTATCTATTTTTTCTTTGAAATGACACCTTTTTAAATCAAAAAACCCTCTTTCTAGCAATACACCTTGGGTACGTCTTAATTTTTTTAATAAACAAAATAAAAACAATAAATTAGAAAAAGCTTAAATTCAAAAGTAATGTTTCATTAAAAATTTTTCCATTTAAAAAGATTTTTTTTACCAAAATTAATATTTTTTTTGCCTTATTTTTAAAATTGATTGTTTTTAAATCAGTTATCGGAGTTTTTTTGGTTAATATCTTTGTCAAAAATAATAATAATAATAATAGATTTCAAAAAAGCCAAAAATAACACAATTTTTGGCTAAATTTGGTGATTTTTCGTCTTATTTTTGAGGAAATTTTGCAAAATAATTTCGTTTCTGACTGAAAACGCAAATTTATCGCAGAGGGCTGCGACTTAGTCACTCTAAATTACACATAACGGAATTCAAGTTTGTGAGAAATGAGTTTGTGTGAAATGCGCTGAAAGGTCCAGTAGTCGGATTAAATTACAAAAGGCCGGCTTGGCGAACTTTGACCTTGACTCCATTGTGACATCATATTGGGAATTTATCACCTGGCGGGGCTACGCCACTGACCCGGCATTCAAGGATTGTGGGAAAAAAGAAAATTCACAATTCTGAATTTTTGTCAATTTTTATTTTATAATTTATTTGTGTTCTGTTTCATAGATTGTGGGGAAAAAAATTAAAAATCGCTAAATTTTCTAAATTTATAAGTATCAGCAGATCAGTTTTACTGAAAAGGAAATTGTTTTTTTTTTTAATTTATTTTTCAGTCGAGAAAAAAAATACAGGACTTGCACTTCAATTTTTCCAAATTTTCTAACACTATCAACTTTTTGTGCTCAGTTCTATTTCAGTTACGATTTTTTTTTCTCAAAATTTTATTTATTTGTGTTGAACTAAAGAACTCACAAATAGCTACTGTAACATTCAAAATTTTGCATTATTTTTTTAAATTTTTTTCAAATCAAGTCTCGAAAGAGGAACGTATTTGATTTTGAGACAAAAAACTTTTATTATTAGAATTCAACATTTGGAATTTGAACTTTAAGTGAAAAAGCTTGAATTTCTTCTATTTTAATTTTGATTTTGAGTTCGTAATGTCTTTGAATTCAATAACAATCAATTGTTACATTAACGATGTCGTGATTTATAATGCAGGATTTATTATTCGTAAGTTAAAAAAAATATTAATTAATTATTAATTTAATGTTTCCGGCAAAAATAATCTTGTTCATTCATTCACAAATTTAACGACTAGATTAAGATCCACTGAATCACTTGTTGCAAGTTGTGATTTTGTTTTTATAATTAAAATAATTTTCAATATAAAATTTTGACAAATTATTTGCGAATCAGGTGAAGTCTACAAATGTCGACAAAATCTGATAGTGCGAGTTCTAGAAGAGCGCGAGCGGCAAAGCCGCGAGCCCCCTATAATCTCTACACAACATTTTCGTTTCTAACAGGATTTTTGATTGGGGCGGATTAATACTTTCTCAGAAGTTGTAAAAATGGTATGCAAATAATTGTGCACATATGGTCTCAGGGTACGGCCCAAAATCAGACCGAGGCCGGGGGCACACAATTGCAGGAGCGGCGGCCGTTGGTATTCAGGGGGCGCGCGACAACTGTCACGTCTTGCGCCTACACCACACCCGCCTTCACTCTTTACTTTCTCCGACTGTCTCAAACTTGTCTCGTGTGTGTTTCCAGCCAACCTTGTGGGTGTTTTTCTACTAAAACGAATCTTGATTTTTTTATATAAAAAATTTTGCTTTTTGCATCCGGTGGCAATTATTTTGCGATTAGATGTGTGTTTAGATTAATAATATTTCAGCATCACGCAAGAAATATGATTGATGGCTATTAATTGCTATCGTTGGAAATGAAACTTAGTTTTATTCTAGTTTAGATGGCGTTAGTTTACAAATCCAAAATCAGATGTAAATGAATTGCCACACACCGCCATTAAACATAATTAAAAAATATCTAATTGAAATTTATTGCACTTTTTCATAACCACCGTCAACTTTCCAAATAATCAAACACTAAATTATCATTAAAGATAGTTATAGTGAACATGCAACAACATGGTTATCGTACTTGGAAACAGATTTTTCGAAATGTGCAATTTTGATTAATTCGAAAATAATGGTGGTTGTAATCATCTAAATATTTATTGCTGTTTTGCTGATTTAGGTGTGTTGACAGTTTGATTCTATAGTACAGTGTGTGTACTTTACCAACTAACGACATAATTGTAGTTTCACACTTTGTTGACAGATA